CCCAATTGTGCTTTGGGTGCAAATTTATAAAGCAGATTTGTTTTCCATTCCACAGCTCACGCACATCTGACTTCATGGCCCGATTATCATCCTCAGCCGTAACCAGCTCTCTTCCCCTCGGGTCCCTGTGACCACCCGCTCCCTGTGCCCTTCTTATCTGGGCCTTCCTGTCTGTCCAGCCTTCCTTCTATGTGAGTGAGTGGCGCCCCTGCGAGGCCTGATGGTGGGTTGATCTAAGGGGTGCAGCTCTCTAGAGTAAGTGGGTACATAGCCCTGGGGTAGGAGGTCTGCTACTGGGTCTTTCTGCTGTTGAGCTGAGAGCCAATCCATGGAACTGAGTCCATTTCTAGGGCTAAAGGGTAACCCAGGGCCATAGTCTTGGGGCTTCCACCAGCCTCTATCCCACCAGTAATTCTGGTCACTTTGTTATAAAACTAGTGCTTTTAATGGTATGTAAATGATACCCCAATAAAACTGTTAAACATTTCAAATTTGGTGAACTCATCAGTAGCAGGGTAGGATGGTTGAAAAGATTTTAAAATATAATTTCTGTGTTCCATTAAACCCCAGAACATTGAGATTTGAACAACAAAAAAAAAAAAGGAGGTACAAACATTATGAAGTCACTGATAAATTTCCTATTGATCTGGCAATCTTGGGAGGAGCTGACTGGCTTCATAACCCCTCTAATCAAGTTCCTAAAATTTTCCCTGGGTATGTAAAGTAGCAGAAACTACAAAAATAAAACGCAAAATTAAATTGCAGGAAATGACTAGAATTAGGTGCAAAAAAGCCATTGCTTTTCACATCATTTTTCTAGTGTCTCACCTACGAGAGACGTTCCACTAGGACGGCACTGCAGACCCGGTGAAAATGCTTTGCTAATTTCTAAAATGACAATGACCCCTACAGGTATTTGCGGATCCACAGATTGATGCATAAATTAGTGGAATAGACACGAGGCAACTGTTGCTGTCCGTGCTGTCACCAAGTAGCCCTGAGATCTGTCGTCCTGTCCCTTGTCTTGAGTTAGCTCTGACTTGAGGGGACGCTGTGCACACAACAGAAGGCACCACTGCGCCTCCCCGCCCCATCTCCCGGCCCTTGTGTGCCCAAGTCCGTGGCGGCAGCCTGTGTGCGTGCTGCGTGCCTTCCAACCTCGGGCCTCACCTTCCAACACTGCACCAACAGTATCTGTTGTGGTCCTCAGGGTTTCCATTGGCTGATCTTCGGAACCCCAGGCCTTCCCTCCTAGTCTGTCTGCACCTGGCAGCTCCGTGGAAACCCGTCCACCATGGGTGACCCTGCTGGTACTTGCAATACCAGTGGCCTAGCTTCCAGCCTCACAGAAGCAGGCGAGGCACCACAGGACGGACCACACACTGCGGGGCCTTATCAACGGGAGAAGGAATCTCCATGGGGCTCGCTGGAAGAAGCTGGGAAGCACAGAGGAGCTTTGTGAATGTGTTATAAATGAACATATCAATGAGGTCACAGGATGAGAAATCTCCGTCTGTGGTCTGGCTGATAGTGACTGAAATGGGACAGAGCTTCACGTCAAATGACACGCGTACAGCACACTTGCCTTTTAAAGAAAAGATAAAGCTAGTGGACAGTATCGTGACCCACACAGAAATTTCTGGGCATGGCTCCCATCTCCTGCAGAGGTCACCCTGCCCCCCCCCCCCCAGTTTCCAAATTTGTGGTGTGTTTCTTTTTTTGATTAGTATTTATTACCTGTGGTCATAAAAGTATACATAACACACCAGTTGCCCACTCAGCCTTTGTGACCTGTGAAACTAGGGCCATCGGTCATGCTGTGCAGCCATCATCAATATCCACTGCAGACTTTTCAAAGGAAGTGGGTGATACTACCATCAGGAGGCCCTGGGGGCTGCAAGTAAGGAGCTCAGGAGGCGCAGTGGTTAAGGGTTGGTGGTTTGAACCCACCAGCCCTGGGAGAAACATCAAGCAGAGGGCTTCAGTAAAGACTGACAGCCTTGGAGACCCTGTGGTGCAGTTCCACTCTGTCCTCTAGGGGCGCTGTGGGTCAGAATG